GATGTTTATAATCATGGAGACAAAACTGACGCAAGTTGATACATGAATGATGCCAAAAGGAACAAGAAATCAGACAATTAAAAATAACTGGATTGTAAAATGATTCTGTAATAGCTCAAGCAAGAAAGTTAGAATCTACACTTAGGCAGCAAACTCTACCAACTAGAACAATAAAAACATATATTCAAGAAATTCAGATTTTCTTATGATTCTGCAACTCTTAAAATCAGTGAACACTACACAGGTAAAAATAGGAACCAGAATAGACACACAGCAAATCCCAAGATCTAAAAGGAACACACAGATGAAACCCAATTCACTTCAATAATTGTTGACATGATTTTTATAACCTTATCAAACATTTATCTGGATTGTTTCCACATTCTCTGCTCCGAAATTTGATTTTACAACACACTCCATTTTTGCTGTTTTCTGCTGAACAGCTATGTTGTAATATGGTTTGTTTTCAAATCCATTACATCATCTAGCCACTTTCTTTGTTATCTGATTTATTTTCAACACTTTTTGGCCAAAATAATTCCAACAATATTTTTTCAGTGTCATTCTTCACTTCCTTTTCATTAAAAGTTTTTCCAATTAGTCATCACCCAACTAATTTGCAGTATATGTCTGCAACACTACGACTCAGATGCCAGTTCAATGGTCTTGTTAGTCTCAAGGCCCATTTTTCATATCTTTACAATGCCGTAAAGCAGCAGAACTCTTTAAGTGTATTTATATCACAAGCATCATGATTATTATAGTTCTGCCTCAATACAGAGTCAAGGATGATGACTCTGGAGGGAACAGTAACATCTACATCAACTCAGAAAAATCATCCTTTACATGAGTGTTATCGAGTAAGTTTGGACACTGAGTCGCATAAGCAGATATCAGAACAGGTGGTCAAAAGTTTGGTTCAAGAGACAAGTTTTGGTTTTCAGCAGCGTCTTCGAGGAGAGCTATAGAGATGGGAAGGCTTTTGGTGAGAAATCCTGAACTTATACACACACAACTCAAGGCAAGGCTTCCAATGATGCAGTAATTAAAACTGACAATGCACACGAGGCCGGAATTGGAGGATTGCAGAAACCTTGGAGTGTTGTAGAACTGGAGATTACAAAGACATAGAGGGTGAAATCTTACAGGGATGTGAAAGCAAGAATGAGAATTTTAAAACCAAGAAGGTGTTGCAAGATCAGAACCTGATGGAATGAAGCAAGCGCAGGACTGACAGGTGAACATGACTTTGGTTTTGTTTTACAATGACAGGTCAGAACTTCACCTGCCTGTTTTTGCATTTAAATCCAAAACCTGCATTTTTAAAAGGGAGTCAAAATAACTGCTACTGGTTGGCAAAAAGTCTATGAAGATGTAGGGATATAACAACAAAATGTGTCAAAGAAACTGCAAAGAGAGAGAGAAAGAACGCAACTTGAGATAAGGAGGGAGTTAACTAACTGTTCTCCCCTCAGCAGACAGCCACCTCTCACAGAGCCCACTTCCTGGGAAATACAAAACGGACCCGAAACGTTAACTCTGTTTTTTTCCTTCACAGATGCTGCCAGACCTGCTGAGTTTTTCCAGCAACTTTGTTTTTGTTCCATTTAAAAAAGGAACTTTATTGTATCTCCCCTTCACGAAAGTCTGATCTGTATTACCCATTTTTGACTTTTATCTTTTTGGACTCACATTATTCCTAGTCTATTTGTATTACATTAGTATTTCTTCCTGTGTGTCGGAATTAATAAACGCACTCTTTTTGTTAATTCAAGAAAGTCTGCTTAAATCGGCTCCTTTTAAAACATAAGTTCATTTGGGTCAGAGAGAAAAGGAAGGGATCCTTTTTAAATTAACCTCATTGTGGCCTACTGAGAGGTTGGGTGAGCAAAGAAAGGGAGCTAGTTCATCCTATTTCACCCGGGAGCTTAATCACTTTGGGTACCCCATCTGAAATGGTTACAAATTGGGGAACCTCACCTGGGGTCTGGTCATAATGCTAGTTAGGATACATACAGCATGGACATTAGTTTTATGAGGGGAGAAAGATCACAGGCTGGAATAGTTAAGTCGAGCAAAGGCAGAGCTGAGTTTCAGCAGATGACATGAGGGAGGGGGAAAATCAGGTGTTGCGGTGGAAGTGGAAATATTGGTCATGGGTGAGAACAGGTATGAAGTGGGAAGTTCAGCTCAGGATCAAATGTGACACCAAAGTTGCAAACAGTCCTGTTCGGCCTCAAATGGCTGCCAGGAACAAGGATCATGTCAGTGGCTAGGAAATAAACTCTGTGTCAAGGACGAAAGACAAAAAAGCTCTGGTCCTTCCAGTATTTGGTCAGAGGGGATTTGTGTTTGCCCACTACTTGTTGTGTGCGAAATGAGATATGGTGGAGGGGTTCACAGCTGTTGGTGGGCGATAGCTGTTGGTCATGAGTGAACATGTGAAACCTCAAATAAAAGCAAAGGACTGCAAATGCTGGAGGTCTGATATAAAATCAGAAAGTGCTGGAGAAACTCAGCCATTCTAGCAGCATCTGTGGGAAGAGAAATAGAGTTAACATGTTGGGGCCAATATCACTTCTTTTTGGAACAGAAGACAAGTCACATTGGAGTTGAAAAGTTAACTTTGTTTCTCTTTCTAACATGTAAAATTTGATGTATTTTCAGACGATGTCATGAAGTAAAAGATGTGATTCTTTTTCACTTGGTCCGGAGTAATATTCCCTCTAAACCATGTAGGCTGCCACATGCTGTTGCTTTAATCTAACACACTTGGATAGCTGCATTAAAGAAAAATATAAGGGTTCTGCTCATTGAAGTAAACAGTCCATGTGCAAAAAATATTAGAGGGAGCACTGGTCCATAGTTAAGTCAGATCTAGCAGCAGTTTTATATCACACAAAATTACTGTTGTGGTGAAGCTGAAAATGTTTCACACTCCATAAGATCATAGGAAATAGGAAGAAGAGTAGGCCATTCAGCCTGTTGAGCTTGCTCTACCATTCAATAAGATTCGACCATCCTCATGCCAAGCTTGAACATAAATGCCCCCTAAAATTCTGCTTTGCATCATCAGCTCGACTTTATTATTGCACGCATGGAATTTCAAATTGTTAGGAACTTTCTTATAATCATTAACCTTCATTAAACATTTCCTCTTTCTATTGCTTATTGGCTACTCAAATAAACTATTTTTTTCCTCACTACATCTATATTGTTCATACTAAAATAAATTTTAAGAAGCATGTTTACCATTGACTTTTTTATCTAATTTCAATTAATTGGCAATCAATATTAGAAATTTGTCTAATGTGCCTTCTTCCACATCCCTTGTCATTTATCTTTTGTATGTACAGTCTATTCTTGGTATCACCAGAACTGTTTTATCAATTTTCTATTATCCTAAATCCTCCTTTTAAGTCACCTTATAAAAATAAGTCTGTTCTCAGTCCATTGCTGTTAGAAACCAAAAACAAAGTACTGCAGATGCTGAATGTTGAAAAGGTTTCAGCATCTGTGGGGATAGAAACAGAGTTTTAATGCTTCAAGTCAATACCTTTTAATCAGATGGCTTTCTGATTTGGGTTTATTGCCAGCTATGTCCAGAACTACCACAAAATCCTGTTCAACTACGGAGATGAAAAGATACCTTCACAATAGAAGTTATTATCATTGAACAAAATAAGATTTTACATCATCTGCCGCAGATGGCATAAAAGTCATGAGAAACGCTTGGGACAAGTGCTAAAAGAAGGGGCTACGATTCAATAACAGAGAATGCTCTATGTTTGGCTTCTCAAAAGTCCATCAGAAGAGTATTTGGAGAATTTGAAGCATAGAGGGATCATTTTTATCCAAACATTTTTGGAAAGTCCCAAAATTACAATGGACATGTGGCTTTCTGAAAAATCACTTGAGTGAGCTATCGAACAAATCGCATAAAACACAGAATGAGATAACATGGACCTCGAAAACAGTGGAAGAAAAATATTTCAGGAAAACGTCTTTATCCAAAAGTAATGAGATTAAAAAAGAATTCCCACCATATGTAGTTTATCAACAAAGAAGATCAAATTCAATAAACTATCTGCGATAACTGAGCTACTACATATTGCAATCACCACATTTACATTTGTTTTGAAGATGATTGCAGAAATATTTTCAATTAATTATAACAAAGTTTGTAAACCCATTGGTTCTGAATTTCTGTGACCTTCTATCAAGCCCCTATTAAAAAACTAGCAAAAGACTGGTAAAATCAAGGAAGGAATGGCATATCATTTTGTTTTTAACTTTAAACTATCTCTCCAGAGGTTCCATTAACATCTAGCTCAAAAACAACATGGTCCACAGAGACAGTTGTTTTTTTCAGTTGTGTAACTGTTTTTCTGAATTATTAAAACAAATATATAGAGGAAAACAGCAAGAATGAATAAGTTTTCAGCACCTTGTCTCAGTTCTCAACATTTCCACAGCTCATTGCCTTCATGCAGAATGTTTGGCTTAACTACTTTCAAAATGAGCAGTCCATCCTTAAGTACTATGGCTCTGCTGCTATTTGATTTTGCGTTAGTAATTTGAACGCAGCAATAGATGGTCAAGAAAAAGCAGCCATGATTATTCTGCAACCAAAATGCTACCTCCTCAAAGATGTAGACTTGGCAGAGGAATTAGGGTCAATACCAGTTTACATCATCCTATTTGCGTAAAATTACAGGTCAAAAACAGGCCATTTGTTCCCAACTACTCCATATGTGTGCATATGTTCCACACAAGGCTCTGTCCACTCTACTTCAGTGAACCTTTCTATTCCTTTAAATACAGCAATGCATTTCATCTTAACTATTCCATGTGTGGTAGCGAGCTTCAGAGTATAACCATTCCTTGAATAAAGAAAGCTTTTCTAAATTCCTTACTAGATATATCGGTGATTCTAAATAGTTATAGTTTATATTAATATATTGATTATTCTAATTAGTTATAGTTTTGGTCTCTCCTGATATATCAAAACATTTTCTTTGCATCAATTAAACGCTTCATTATCTGAAAGATCGCTCAGATCAGCCTCAGCTTTCACTTAGAGCACAAAGCCTCATCCTGTTCAGTTTTTTTCCTGAAAGTTATAACCTCTCAGCTCTAGTAGCCCCGGATAAATCTTTTCAACAGTTTCTCCACATCCGTTTTGGAATATGGTGTGGAATCTTACAGGGGCCTTAACGATGTGGGCTATAGTCAGAAATCTGGGGGAGGTCTGTGAGAATTTGAGTGAGGCCTTTCTCAACACTGGGACAGCCTGTTGCATTTTCAAACAGAGCTCCGGGTGGTGAGATGAGATTGTCACTATTGAGCAACAAGATGACTATTAATGGTGATTATTGCTCATCATCAGCTACATTAACTGTAAATCTCACTGATTTAATACGCAGTTTGTCATCCTATCGCTCAACCCAGGGAAAACAGATGTCAACAATGCATGAAATGAGAGTCAGAGACGCTACCTGGTGGCTGTTTGATCCTCTGGGCCACTAGCTTAGACACTCAGCACCAATATCTCAGGACACATTCTGGGATACCTGCCACATGCAGCCCACATTCACAGGCATTGGTATTGACAGCTACCAACCTCTCAGGACCCTTATGGTACATCTCCAATCCTCAGACAGGATGCTTCTGCACTTTAAGGCTGGACTTTATGGCACTCTGGCAATGAGCATGGAAACACTGCTATGAGGACACAGCATGGGGATCTGATTTACAGGCTGGACCAGGCTGCTTCTCAGGACTGGTCACTCACTCACTTTGTGTCTACCTGGATACTCCAAGAATCCCTGCCTTACCTTGATGATTAGTATTCTGTGCCCTCAGCCAGGCTCACGTTACTTTGGCCTTGCTTTGCCATGTACTACAGGCACAAAGCCAGAATGTTGGTCAAATTAAGGGAGCTGACATACATTCAGGGAGGTCCAGGTATAGTCAGTCAAGGCTTGGGCATACGCAGTCAGCCACTTGGCCAGTCAGGGTCAAAGTCAAGGTCCTTCCCTCAAATGGGGTAATGTGCTGTTGGGCCATCCATCAGACATCTCGACTCTCTTCTCCGTATTATGAGCTGTTTTCTCCTGGAATGAGAGAATGGGTGGGATTGAGTAGAACAGCTTTGAGTACCGGTGCTGGTGAGAGTAATGTGGTGAGGTATTCCCTGCCAGGGAACAGGCAGTACTAGAGGTCACGCAGGATTAAGAGGGAAGACGTTGCTTTCAATGGTGAGACAGAGTACAGCAACAGCATGATGGAGTGAGGTAACACAGAGAAAGTGGTGGAATTTACCCAGGCAGAGAGGAGAAACTCATCAGCCTTCTTGCATCACCGCTGAGCATTCCCCCGGTTAACTAAGACTGCAATGGCTGAGGTGGCAACCTCAGTCCAAGCTGGGTCTGATAGTGTGGCTTCCTCTGGTACTCCTGTGAGAAGACAACATGCCTATTCGACACCGTGCTCCAGGTCCCTGTTTACAAAGGGGCAAATCCCCTTTACCTGCCATGCCCAGGACAAATGTCCAGTGCGCATTCAAGTGCACAAAGGCCTTCTAAAGATGGCACAGGCGCTAGGGCTGCTGGCCTGTTCTGGGATACCCTTCAATTGTAGATACCAGTTAGCACTAGACAAGGGAGGGGGGCAGGTAGGACTGCAGGGTGTGGGAGGTAGTTAGGTAGTTATTGAGACAGGTTTAGGACAACGGCATTGGAAAACCCACTAGGTCCCACAGACAGACACTGTTCCTAAAGCACAACAAACTTGACTCAGTCAAAATATTGTAAGACTCAGCCCATGGAAACCGGAAATGTGCAGGAAACCCAAATGTGGTCTAACCAAACTTCTATGTAAATTAACTATAATGTCCCTGGTATTCAATTCTATTCCTCTCAACATTACACCCAGTGCTTTATTTACTTTAGCATTTCAGAGGGAGGAAAATAAAGCCTAGTTTTCTATAAAAGGTAAAACTGTCTCCCTGACACAGCTTCTCACCTACGTCTGACCAGACAGATACAAAGATGTCACTTTCCACGGATGCACATTCCATCAATTCCGAGACAATCTCTCTCATTTCCTGTGCCCAAAACCAATTTGGTACGATGCATAGAATTACTTTAGATAAATGGCACAGAAAAGTATGAAGAAATAGCTACAGATAATGTTCTTTCCACAAATTCAAAATCCATCGGTCTTTTATTAATCTTAAAAACATAGTTTTGACATCTGTGGGTGTAACTGTTCTGCCTTGAACAAAGCAGCTACACCCCAACACTATCATGAACAAAACTTGCACATTCAAAGTAAACAATTAAGGCCCAAAGGAATTAAACTGGTTCCAAAACAGTTTCAAATAGTTCAAGAATTTAATTTTAAATTAAAATATGATCTGAAATTTGCTCTATTTCCCTTAAAAATTAATAAAAGAGAAAGCAGCATAATCTGTCAAATTCCAATAATGTGATGATGTACTAGGCAGCACAATTTAAATTAATTTTGTTCGAACTGATCTGATAGCCTTACCAACACTACTTCCTACATCAATAGAGCAAGAATTATTTGATGGAAGTGTTGATTTCTTTTCAAATCCAAAGCAATACTTGAATATAGCAACACCACTTCAACAGAAAAAAAAGGTTTAATTTACCAGTTACTGAAAGTCAATGCTACCTCTCTGAAGCAAATGTTAAACATAATAAACACACTTTTCATGAAAACTGAACATTTATGCAGAGGAAGTGCTCAAAGATCTACCTACTAAGGCTTACTGATGATTCAATGAAACCATTTTAAACCAGCACTGGGAACTGTCCCACTGGAACTCAAAACTCACAGCTAAACATAGAAAACCCTTTCAAATGAATTTCTCTTTGTGTAAACATCAGAAGAATTTTCAGTACATTGATTAGGATGATACAGATCAAGAAATTATTTTCATAATTTCAATAAGATTGACTACGAGAGAATCATTTCATCCAGCTGAATTTAAATCCAGACTGCAGATTTCAAACAGCAGTGCACTGATCCCACTGCAACACTCAATTCTCTTTCAGTAGTTTGCTTAAAGAGGGTTACTTGTGCAAAAAAACATATTATGATCAAGGCACAAATACACCTTTACTACAGCGGAGGGCAAAGGAATAGAGGAAAGAAATAGCAGAGACATTGACGCAGTTATTCATAAGAAAAATACGTATGCCAGAAGACAGAAAGGTAGCTAACATTCGAGAACTGGGCTAGAACAGGTTCTAGGAACTATGGGTCAGTCAGCTTAACATCAAACAAATAAAAAATAATAGAGTACCAACAAAAGGATCCAGTTGCTATAAACATCATAATTCAACTGGAATTTTGAAAGAGTTTATTCTGCATGTCCGGCTTACTGTCCTTTCGAAGAGGTGATGGTGCAGACAAGGGTAACGTAGTAGATGGAATTCATCTAAAATACCAATAAGGTGCTATATAAGGAACTAATGAACAAGCCAGAATGCACAAAGTCAGAAAACAAGTGACTAACAGATAGCTGGCTGGCTAAAAGACAGACAGTAGCAGCGAAGGGTGGCAGAAGGTGAGAAGGTGGGATGATAGGATCAGTGTTGAGAACATTGTTGTTTTTCACTTGTATTGATGATTTAGACATTGGAATGAAAAGCAGGATTTATGAATGACATCAGTTTGAAGGGGATTGTCAATATTTATTAGGACTACAACTATTTGCAAAAAAAATTGGCTGAGATTTTTCCCTTTTGAGGCTAACACTCAATTGGTGAGGCAGGAGAAGGGAATGAGGATCTTTCCAGGATCACATTGCCCAATGATTTCTCCTTCTCACCACCTTTCCTGCCAAGTCTAAGGAAGGGAAAATTGCACCCATTAAAAACCTACAGATAGGGCAGGTAACTGGAAAATGTCGCCATTGTGTAAATTGCAAATGTAGGTGTAAATAAGAAGATTACACATTCCTTCAAAAAATTTGAATGTGGTGCACTAGCGAAAGGCATCAAAGAATACAAATACTTCAATAACTGTAAGTTGCTATTAAGACTGTAACATTATGGCTAAAACAAAACAAAACAAACAAGCAACAGGGTTTATTTCTAGAGGGATAGAACTGAAAACTTGAATGTTATGCTAAACGCGTATCAAATTTCAGTTAGACCACACTATTGAGTTCAATCCTGGTTGCCCTATTCTGAGAAGAATAGAGAGGTATCAACTTGATGATTATCCTGAATGGAGGAGCAGGTCAGGCTGTCTAGTCTTCCACTTGTCCACTTCTTGTGCTCCGAGGTACAGAAGAGGATGTAAAACATTTCCAAGGATAATACTAGAACTGCAAGTTTACACTGAACAGGAAAGGTGAAACAAGCTGGGCTGTCCTTTCCCTTGAAAAGACAAGGCTGTGAGCTGGCGTAAAAGAGGTCTTTAAAAAGTATATAAGTTTATGACAGACTGGATGCAAGATAGAACGTTTCTATTTGTTGGAAAGACCAAAGCTAGAGGTCATCTAATTTGCAAATCACTAAGAAATCAGGGAAATTTAGAAAAATCCTCTTTATACGGAGAAATTGGTGAGAATGTGGTGAGAACACAGTGAATAGTACAGATACTTTTAAGGGGAAGCTGGATGAGCAAGTATGTCAGAATGGACTAGGGAATTATGCTTCTATAATTAGATGAGGAAGAGAGGATGCCTAAATACTGGCATGAACTAGTTAGACTGAATGACCTGTTTCTGTACTTTGCATTCTGGGTAATTCCCTGTAACATCAATGGATGCCATTTTTTCTAAAACAGAAAATACATTTGACAATGTGGAGAAAGTGTACTATGTGCTAAAACAATGCAAATTGGACAAAAGCTTACTTTGTCTATCAGAACTCTCTGTGGGTCCCCCAAAATGTTGGCTAATGCATTAATAGCAATCATCTTAAACTGGAAGAAGAATAAAAAGGAGAAATGTTTTTATTTAGTGATCCTCACCGATCTTAGACTGACTCTGTTGAGTCACCAGATGTGATGGATCATTCAATTCATTGAGTATAAACCAAGCAGGAACTCAAGTTACAGAGGAGAAAGGAGTGGACAGTTATTGCTATCACAGGCTTCAGTAACACGATCGAGATTTCATGTTGCAGTCTCTGAGTACATGGATGGAATATTCACATTCTATGACAGCCTCCAAACATGCTGCTCCCAAACCTCAGATGCCTTAGGTACCCAAGAAACTGCAAGATTTATCACTTACATCACCAATCGTTTCAAAGGCACCATGTTCACATCCAAGTGCTGCCACTGCCCAAGTTCAGCAATGTCTTGTGTTCTGCTCCTTCAAACAGCCTACCCCAAGGAGTGCATCAACTATTAGTACTTGCTTCATGTTTCCTCCACTTTCTCCTGGGCACAGCTTCTCACCCACTTCTGACCAAACAGATACAAAGATATCACTTTCCACTGATACACATTCCATCAATTCCGAGACAATCTCTCTCATTACCTGTGCCCAAAACCAATTTGGTGCAATACATAGGATTACTTTAGATAAATGGCACGGAAAAGGGTGATCTGTCCAAACAGCCCGCCTTGGTGTTTATGCTCCATCCATGATGCCTCCCACTTTTCCTTACCTAAATCTACCATTGTAACCAGCTATAATTCACTAAACGACGATAGCAAGTTCCACATTCTTACCACTCTGTTTTTAATTATGTTCCTTCTCCATTTCCTATTGGATTAATGTAGTGTACTGATAGTCTCAGGTTATGCTCTTCCTCAGAAGATAAAACATTCTCACTGTTCAAGTTGATTAACATCCTCAAAAGTATCCTGCTGTTCAAACAAGAGATTTTTTTTCAGAAAACGTACTTGTAAGGCAGATGTCAGGATAATTAAAGATTAGGAGACATGAACAAGTGCCTTACACATAGGCCTTAAAAAAGAATGAGGAAAACAGACAAAAATTAACCAAGGTGAAAAACAGACAAGTGTTGAACCAAAACAAAAACAGTGACATGGAATGAATTCAAGAACAGGAAGGAATCAGACAACTTCAGGACAAGAACCACCTTTCATATATTAACAAAAA